GAACTCAATATTACTTTACTCTTGAAACGTCGAGTCTTCTTGTCGTTGCTTCAATATTAATAAAGCCATATAGACAGTTTTACGCGAATTTGAACAATTTGGCATTTTATATATGAATAGTAATTTGTAACCAAGTCTGGAAGCTCAAAAACAGTTAATTCTCTTTCTTTGTTAATTGAAAAGCGTTACTTCAAAGTATAAAGGCCTTTGGTGACTAATGCATTGCTAGCAAACTCCATAGAAACTCTGTAAACACCAAAGATAACAGATTAAAARTATAACATCAATATGACTTTGAACAAGAATTTTTTTATAAGCCAATTTTGACGAAATATTTATAAGCAAATGATTCAGCTAATGATTCCAGAAGCTGCCATTGTGATAGATATTTTCTCTTACTTTGTGAAATTGAACCATAGTTAATCGAGGGGATTAATTATGATTGAACTTCTAAAGCGTTCAGGTTAAAGGTAGCCACGGAAACAGCTTACCTTTCTACAAATATCCGACTCGTGCATGCAACAGACCGACTAGAATGGTCTCTAACTTCAYATCGGCGAAAACAATCGAGTGGCCATAGTAATTGATGATCAATATGGATTATATATAGTAACCGATATTGTATTCAGAACAGCCGAAAGKCTAGAGTTGACATTATAACGACAGTTAAACAAAGAAATATCATGATCGCTTCTGGAGGCGAGATATTAAAAATGTTATGTCAAGAAGAGCTGAATTATGAGTTTAAGATCTAGAGTTGCTTAAAAACCCATTTGTGATTAATTAAGCAACTCCAGGAGGTTTTTTTCATTGCCTTTTTCAGGACAAGAATAATGTGCTTTTTTATACTTCACTTTTTATCTTTAATAATTACATAGGAATAATAAAATATAAAAMTGATCTAAAATATAAGAATTATCATAGTTATTATTAACTAATTAACTATGGAATTATATTCTAGAAATATTATTATATCGACTTTGATTTCGGTTAGGTTTTTTACTGTTTGAAAACATTATCCATGTCATCGTTTTCGATTTCATTATCAGAACTAAATCATTTAGAAATTTAAGTACTGTATCCATGATACCCTGCGCTACTAGCTTCTGCGTTTTACTGCTGACAAAGTTTCCCAGAAAGAGTGTTTCTAATAAGTATTCCTTAAAACGAATTTAAWCTACAAGATAATTTAGAGACATTAGAATTATATCGTATTACATGGCATGATATATATATATACATGAACCATTTTTCCTCAGACCTTAAATGTATTTTTTGTATTTTGTATTTATAGATGGTAAAAAATAGCTTTAGCTTAAAATACTCCATGTAAAAGTGCATTGATGTAGTTGAAAAAGTATATAATAAAGTATTATAAACATCAGCAACTTAAAGCTATGAAAAGCYACAAAGTATAGAACGTAAAAGCGTGTGTTTTTCTTCTGTAGAAGTTTGTTTATCCATCTGTCGRAAAATGGACAAGTGAAGTCTCAAAGCMTTTCAAGTGGATGKTTTTCTTTTTCACTCTTTTTCCGYTTGCATCCCATTGCTTCTKTTGTGTCAATTTGGTTTGCCTATTGAATTTTGCGTGAAATTCGAAACGCGTGAAATAGATATTTCTCAGAGCAAAAGTAAGGATGTTCTAATTGTACTGTTTTACGGATTTGATTGATCGTCGTTTTTAAGGTCGAATATCTTAAGATATGCATTCATATATATAGTTCTGTATAAAAATAAAAGTTTAATACCCTTAAAAAGTAGGTGAAATAACCCAGTTACTGATGTTTCGGACGTTAATCCTTCGTCTTTACTTCAACTACAACAGAAGCAGCTAACAACAAAGACAACAGCAACAGCAATAACCACAGTAGCAGTAACGACATTACAACAACAACAACTACAACAAAGACAATAGTAATAGCGGCAGCAGCAGCAACGGCATCACTACCGGCAACAACAACAGCGACAACAACAACAACAGCAGCAACAACAACAACCACAACCACAACAGCGACAACGACAACAACAACAACAAAAGAAGCAACAGCAACAAGAACAGCAACAAGAACAACTTTAACAGCAAAAACAAAAGCGACAACAACAACAGCAGCAACAACAACTTTAACAGCAACAACAACAACAGAATTAACAATTTTAACAGCAGTAACAAAAGCGACAACAACAGCAACAGCAACAACACCAGCAGCAACAACCGTACAGCAGCAGCAACAACAGCAACATCAGCAACAATAACAACATCAGCAACAGCAGTAGCAACAGCAGCAGCAGCAACAACAACCGCAATAACAGCAAAATGATCAGCAACACAATAGCATTAACAACAACTTACAACAAACATAAAAAAACGTAAAAAAAGACGACAGGAAACGTAACACTATAGAAAAAAATAAGAATAGAAAAGGGTGATTGTCATAAACAAAAACAAACAAATAAAGCAAAACAACGGAAATATCCAACTGACAGTATATCCGTGCTTCCTTCCTTGGAGAGCCGGATTAAGAAACCAAACACAATATTTACTTGGATTTCAACGAAAATAAACTACAAAGATATTGCAWTAGACCAGGTCAACACTACTGGCTTGTCAACACTAGTATCTTGKAGAGAGTGGGCGAACTTATTCTTTTAAATCCTTATGAGAGGGCGGATATTTGTGCCTATTTATGGCCCAAAAAATATGTTTAAAACTAGAAAGAATGAGGATAAACTGGAAAATGCTATGCAATAATAAAAAAGAATCCATGATGTTTATTAGTTAAAAGTTTTGCTTTTACTATCTGTTTCTCTTCTTTTTTCTTCATTTTTTTGATTTTATTTTTATGAGATCAATATGCGTAGTTTTTTTTATTTCGTTAATTGTGCTTATTGACTTTGCTTTGTTGAGGTTCTTTAAGAATGAAAACTTGCTTGCACGTTGTTTTACATTTTGTTCATTGTTTCTATTTAATTTCACCTGTTTTATTTTCTCTGCTTTATTTCGTCCATTTTTGTTTAAACTTTTGATTTTTCTTTTCCGTTTATTCTTTTTTTCCCTACCTTTCAGTTTTATATTTCCAGTCTGCTCTTTTTTATGTTTTTTGGTTAATTTTTCTGCTCTAAATCTCTTAATTGAACTGAAAAYAAATATATCTATTATATAATTATCTATGAAATGCCTATATCACTCTCTTTCGAATAGTTGTTATTTTTACATTCGATGTTTCTCTATATATTTAAGTATAAGATATTTATACTATATAATTTGCTTTCATATATAATGTTATGATAAACAAAATATTGCACTTTCACTTGGGGATTCGCTGCGCTCACTCGTGAGAGATCTTTTCAGCCCTCGAAGATAAAATCCGTATGTCCGAGCGCCCTTGTAATATCCTCTATTTACGTCCGGCCTCGGGCTCGCTCCAGACATCCATCTGTGACGATTTTTTGATGTACTTATGTTTATAATGATAGTAAMGTAGCCTYCCAACGGCTTTTCAAGTRACTATTAATATTCTTTTTGTTTTCCCACTATCACGACTTTGATGAAATTCTCTTTGAAAAAACATCAACTTGATGAAGAACTTGATCAATATCAAGCTATTTAGATGTTGCTAAACTCTATGTATATTTACTTCGCTGAACTAAARAAGTATAATTATTATACACCGATTTTAGAAAAATATGACACTCTTGAAATTTATACACCTTAATTTTCGCTAATTCCATCGTTTTCTTTTTATGCCCATTCAACTTTTGACATTTTTATTCTCTAGTTTAATGTCTGTGCTGTAAAATACTTCACGAACTTCAAATGCAATCACTGAATGAAATATTTTTAGAAAAAAGTATGAACTATCTAGAAATTATCAATGTCGACAAAACAAACGAAACGATATATGGTGCCGTTAGTTAACAAGCACTTGGTCTTCTCATTAGACGAATTCTATAAGTTGGACATTTCGTGCAGGATGCTTTGAAGCTCCAAAGCGATATTGCCTTTCAGAAACTCGTTGCTAAGTTTTAAAATGCGCGCTTTTTAAGGTTATTGATTACCTAAAATGATAATGGAATTCTTGCTTGAATTTCTTTCTAGTTTAGATAGAGAGATTGCCTGAGATTTCTAAAACAGTGCCTCTATTTAAGTTTCTACGCGCGCTACTATACTATCATGTTGAACAAGCGCAAAATCGTATTGTGATATTTTTGGGGGGTATATTTTTATGCGACCGGAAACGACGGTGGATGTGGAACATCTCTGTTCTTTTTGGTCCTGAAGAACTGACCGGGATTGCACGAGTCGTCGTCGAAGAAATCTAAGAAGATCCACGATTTCTTAGTACTTAAATATGCCATTTTATAGTTACCGCAGCGCCATCATGAAAGGCAGTATTGCCCCATGCATCAAATCGAGACAGTGAGCTTGCAATGATAGATACCATTGAATAACTGTGTGAACAAAAAGTATCTATTACTGCAGATTTAACAACCGTCAGTCGCTTTGATGCAAAGGCTTGGTTACCTTTCAAGATGGCGCCTGGTAGTGTAAAATATGTCGCACACATTTATGTTTGTTGATGTCCTTTTCTATTTTAGATTCTCGTAGAGGATCTCTTTGGTGAAGTTGCTACAGAGCGAGAGGTGGAGAAGCTCGCTAATAAACTACACGAAGCCAAGTCAACTAAAAGCTTTGATTCATTTGAGATACTGGCTAAATATGTTGGTTCTACGTCACTGTCACTATTGGTTACACCTCTGCGAGAGGTAAGAGTGTTCTATGGAGACAATTTATTTATGAATCTTGTCATTATTATATATATCCAGGAGGAGCCGACGGGGTCTGTTCTTCTAAATAACTGTCCTTGTACGAGTTTTTTTTTTCTGGGAAAGGGATTTTGAGCTACATTGTTGACAATCTCACAAGCAAATGTGGCACCCTTCCTTCTTTAAAACAATTTTGTTCCTGGAAAACGTTTTTTTTAAAAACGTCAAAAACAGCTTGTATAACGTTTTTATGGTCAAAAATTATTAAAGATTATCAGATCGACCCCACCCGCTATCACGCTTTTCACACTTTTCACAGCATCTTCAAAACACAGAGCATGAAAATAACGTAGAAAATCAAAGCCCTCGACAGATAAAGTGTATTTCGAGTCTTGGTAACTATGAGGACGCTTTTTCAAAATTCGATTGCAGACATCCATGTCTCCAGCGCAAATCAGCTTTCCGTCTCGAGGATCAAACATTTATAAACCACAGCAGTTATTTGCCAAAAAAGTGGACATGAGTTTTTACTGAATTTTCGTATAGAAATCAGTAGTATAGATTAAATTAAAAAATCGAAAACGCTGATTTTTTCACGAGTTTTAGTTGGAAAAACGAAAACTAACTTTCATGGTTTCCTCTATGTTTTTATCTTATTGGAATAGAGAAAGTTTCTCTCGCTCAAATGTCGAAGAAAATTCAGGGTCAATGAATGAGATAAGATTTTGAAAATTTAACATGAATTTTATTAAGATCTGGGCTCCGTTTAACGGACATCTTTCKACATTTCCAATTATTACGTCATCTATATCAGCTCTGGGTGCACAATAATGAAAAACAAATTATTTTGAGTTCAAAATAGTTTTCAAAAAAGGCTTAGAACTTRTCGGAAAATTGGACAWTTGTCCTAGCCTAARGTTTTATTATAATAATGCAAACGTTTCGGTCAGAACTCTGACCTTCCTAAGTGCGAGGAAAACGTCTGCGTTTTTATTCAGTTTTTAATAATGACTCTTTCTAGCTGCAATTTTAAAATATTTGAAGATGTAATATCCTCAGCTATTATCCTTAGAGTAATTAGCTTCTCGTAATTGGAGTTTTTGTGTTTTGTTTTTCGTGTTTGCATCAGATATCGCAGAATCTGTTCCTTCCCAAATTAACGGCAGACAACAGTTTTTTACTCTTTTCGAAAGGTTTTAGAAGAATGGCTTTTTTCGTCGTCATTTTGTGGTTTCTATCATGTTAGCTAACGTGGACGTGAAAAAAAAGCTAAATCCATTATCGCTTATCTTTTTAGTTAATTAAATAGCTTTTTCTCACGTCCTCGTTAGCTTACATAATAGCACAAAAACTCCAATTACGAGTAGGTAATGACTCTGAGGAGAATAGCTGAGGATTATATTTTCAAATGTTAAACAATAATTGATATGAGGGCGTATCATTTATACGCCCACTTGCAAAAACGTTGTCATAGAAAATAAGACATTTGTATTTAGTAAAAAAGGAATAAATTGAAAAAGACAAAAGAAGATCACTGAGGCTGAACTCTCTTTTGTCTTGTTTTAATTTATGCCTTTTACTAAATTCAAATGTTTGATTTTCTATGACAACGTTCCTGCAGGTAGGTATATATACATAGGACGCTCCATTTTTCAATCAGTCTCTTGTCAATATGGATTCACAACAAAGTAAGTAGGAATCAGATATCTTTTTTTCTCCTTTTAATACTTAAAAAGTGTTTTCCAATGGCTTTTTTTCCTTATTTTTTCAAGATACCAAAGCAGATTGTGAGCATGATAAAAATGCAATCCTGATGGCAACTCCATGCAGGGACTGGTTTTGCGACTGGTGCACGCGTTGTGTGTACGAACAGGACAAATATCCAATTTTCCGATAAGTTCTAAGCCTTTTTGGAAAACTATTTTGAAATCAGTATAATTTTTTTCATTATTCTACACCAAGAGATTAAATAGATGACGTAATGATTGGAAATGTCGAAAGATGTCCGTTTAACGGGTCCCTCCTTGTGCGTGCAAGTAGGTGCTTACGTCAGAAAACAAGTTGTGTTTCCCAAAAATTGAAGAAGAAAGATATTTGACTCTATGTTTAGAAGCAAACTTACGTACTCATGCCAGACTTGGTCGTTACCAGAAGCATCTCTGAACACTGTCATTGCAACATACAACTAGCATCTACGTAATCTAGTAAGAGGAGGACATAAGAGAAAGACAATTCAAGCTGGTGATTCTAAAACTACATCACAAGTTACAGATATGTTTTGTATATCCTACATCACAAGTAACAGATATGTCTTATATCCTCACTAACCAGCAAATTATAATATACAGTTGTCCAACACACCCCTGGAGGAATTTATTCGACAACTACAATGGTCCTCACATTTAGTAAGCTCATCAAATATACGATTCATTAAGAAATTAACATTAACAGAAGGGAAAAGAAAAAGAAGGTCAGCCTATGAAGACTCTTTTAAGAGCTGTATATAAACGATTAAACGTCCGTGATCCAAGTCAAATACTGAAGAAACCAGGTTTCAGGCAAAAGGAAAACAGTTTATCTACCATGGTTGAACGTCATTCAAGAATGACTGCTAAATGTCACTCAAGGAAAGGATGGGCGAACAATTAGTCGAAATCATTTGTTCATATTTTTCTTTTGCTTTCATTTCAGTAATTAAAGAAATCATTTGTTTCAGTTTCATTGTAAATTGTAAATTTAGTATTTATATTAAAACACTTTATAACTGAATCTTGTCTGTTTCCATGATCCCGAATTTTCTTCGACATTTGACCGAGAGAAAGTTTATCTATTCCAATAAAATAAAATTAAAAAACATGAAATCATGAAACCATGAAATTTAGTTTTCGTTTTTCAACCAAAACTCGTAAAAAATTATACCGCAGAACTGATGATACACACAATTCAAATTGCTACAGGAAACTCACGTAAGCGATTTTTGAGCGCCTAGTTTTTGTGGTTACGCCGCCGTCTTAAGATTGATATGACTATGTTACTGTGTTTTGAGACTACAAGTATGTCAGTAACACTGATGTGATTCATTCTTAACCCTTTCAATGTTCTACCTGGTGATGTAAAAACGCGTGTACTCTATTTCGGAAATGCTTCCTATGCACGCATGCGTACTGTAGTATTATCAATCGTCACCCACTTAGAGTAACCACATGCAGGGCTCGAAATAACGGCCAGACATATGCAAGACAACATGTCCTTCCAAAAATTTTGAAAGGACAAAAACTTTATTATACTATTATTTTCTTTTAATTTAGAGGTTTTTGTATTCAGAAAGATAGCAAGCATTTTAATGGCTTGTAAAAGATTTATTTGGCGAATTGGTAATTGATTGTTTTTTTTTTTTTTTGTCTAATCTACACTATATTG